GAACACGCCTCGGCGGGCGGTGCTGGTTGCGGGTGTGCGGCGCCCCCTGTCGGCGGGGCCGGGCGGTCTCGCCGTTCCTCCCTCAGGAGCGCTTACAGCCGTTAGCCTGTCGGTCACTGCCTGAATCCTGAATGGAAAGCTTTGAGAATTTGTTTATTTTCTTGCTTTTTTTTGGCTGGAGAAACGACTGTGTGGCCCACACTCCATATGTTTCATACTGTATCTCAATACCGAGCTCTTCAGGTTATGTGAAGTTTCTCTGTAGAAATGAAATGGCAATGGCGCAAAATCAAATACAGAAAGTTCTCTCTCTCTCTCTTTTTTTCTTTTCTTCTCCCAGTTGCTTTCCTCCTAGGGAATTACAGCGTTGCAAAGAGTAGTAAAAGCCAGGTTTTCCCCTGCAGGTGAAAGCATCCTCAGTCATCGTTTCTAGACACCAGAAACAAACAGCTGCCTCTAGAACCGTCGGGCTGTCCGTCCAACAGGAAAACCGTCAATAATGCCATTTTGTACAAGGAGGCGACCCCGTCTTGCACTGAAGTAGTAGGCGAAGCCAATTCTTCTAGTGGCGAGCACTCGGGGTAAGCTTTCCTAACAAACTCCCCACGCGTGGCACTACGCCACTGCACGCCTCGTGCCCAGCCTCAGCAAGGTGCCAAAGAAGTGGCAGGTAAACATATTTGGTTTTCCTTGTTGGCTGAGATGATCCGCAAAATTTCCTGTTATGTTTTAAGTGATGCGCTACTTGTTCTGAAGTAACATTTCGTCTTCTGTAACACTGGAATCCTAAATTAGATATGAGAAACAAGTATTTTTGCATGGCCATGACCTGGGATCTGCAGTGACAGTGGCATAGTTCTCATTTATCTTAAAACTATTTCCTTGAGAAAAGCAAAGTTTAAAAAGCTGTGTATAGAATATTAAGAAATATTGTTCAATATACTACCTTATTTTTCAAGTAGTCTATTATTCCTGTCAGTTTGTGGATAATATACATACTTTTTAAGGTAATATTTTGAGACATACTTTGCCTACATATTAATCTGAAAATACTTGTCTTTTCACTTTGATACTTACACTTTTCTATGAAAGATTTAGACTTTTTTTTTTTTTTTTCATAATGCATTTCAGAACAATTTGAAGGAGAAGCATTTTCCTTCCTCAAAAGATTTGCAATGACTTTCAGGGAAGAAAATGAAATTTTATTTCTGCACTAGCAACTGAGCAAGCATATGGAATACAATTACTCATGAACTGGTTTTGTACTAAGCTCAATATTTGTACTAAGCTCAATAAGTGTTTTCACTGTAAGTTGTAGGGGAATGCAATATAAAATTATGTAAGCATATAAAATGAACACTTTCAGAAATTCACTGAAGCAATTGATAAAGAATAACTGACAGGCCCGCTTCCCAGCTTCATTTGCATTTTCCGTGTCAGTATCCACAAACGATAGCTTTTAGGAATGTGGTGCTTCCAGAGACATTCTTAAAAATCCCTGGGGAAAAGACCAATGGTTATTCACTCCGATGCCGATTCACCTTTTTCAGAAATGCACTTGAATATGAGATGTTCTATAGCCTATTTGTGAACAGTAACTAGCAAGAATAAACTGGTTCTCATAATCCAAGTTGGGGAATGTCATGTATCTAGTACTATTTTCAGTCCTAGCTTTCTCTTTGTAAACTCATGAACGCTCAGCTCTCATTCCTGAGCCTCCTGGGACACACTCAGGACAGCTCTGGTATGTGATGGTTGAGTACCCCACCGCATGGAGCTGCTGCATGAACTCATGAAGTTACTCAGGGCTGTACTATTAATACGTGCAGACTCATCCTGCTCAGAGTATAACATGCATTGAATTAGAAATTCCTAGTCCGTGACTAGCAAGCAAGTCCCGAGGGTTTGCTTACGTGGAAGAACAATACAGCTGGCTGTAAAGGTTTCCAGTATCCTCTCTTTCTGTGGTTTTAGAAGCATACCTTTTTTATATTAATGTCAGACAATAAAGACAAAAGGAACATACAATAAAAAAATGTAATCTTTATTATTTTGGCGCTTTAATAATGTTCTTTAGCATCAGTTAGGGTAAGAGTAGCATTTTCCTGCATGCAGTTCACGAATACAGTATTAGTCAATAACTTTAATAAAAGTAATCTATATTTAATTTTCCTGTGTAAGAAACATAAAATGTCCTGATGTGTTGGATTATACAATTTTGCTACTTTCTCTTTGTGAAAAAATATCTGGACCCAAGATAACATTTAGAACTGCTCTAGTGCAGTATGAATCAAAAAAAGTATCTGTGAGTAAATGAGAAAAGATTAAGGATTCTGTGAAAGAAAGGTTGTAGATGAAAACTTATGATGCAGGCACTGCTTAGACATTCAATTTGAACTTTACACCATTTCTCAACTGCAAAAACCCCTTAGATTTTTAGAAGCAAATTATGAACTTATTTCGCAGAAAGTATTGACATGTTTGCAAAAATTGTAAACAATAAGAACCTACAGCTATCCATTCTTTCAGTCATATCTTTTCTCTGGAGTTCTTCTGTGAAAAAGAGCTATGGACAGAAAGTAACGAAAATGGTGTGACATCAACCTGAAGATAAAATTCAGTTCTTGTTTTATGTACATAATGCTGAAAAAGAAAATAAAATGATTTTTACAGTATTTATATTTGCTTATAAAATTCTAACATTATTTTCAACAGGTTTAGTAGTTTTCAACATGTCTGTACAGTTTCGATATACACTATATGCTTTTCACTGAAAATTCAAAAACGTAAAGCAAATAAGCTCCTAAATAGCTGCAAAATATTGCTTAATGGTATGGAGGAATGAGGTCTCATTGAGTAGTTTATTTCATTTAGCTCTGATGTATGGCTTCCCATATTTAAGAATCCCAGACAGTCAAAGGAACAGCAGCACAGGCAATATAAACATGCATCGATAGCATCCATACTATCTATAATGGTAGATAATACGTAATTTTACCTGTTGAACGCTTGCACACTACACTTATTGTGGTACATATTTGATGCAATAAATGTGCTTAGGTCATTATCTGTTTGCTCAAACATGCACCACAGGTTAAAAATTACTATTTACATCGCAGAGGGCTTTTCATTAACATGTACAACAACGTCAACCTTACCGAGAGCTGAAGATGGCTAAACAATACTGCAGGATAAAGCAGAACAACTTTATAAAGGGCTGTTTTTGATCAATTTGGAGGGCTGAGGCAGATTCGTTTAGTAGTTCTATGCAGAAAGACATTTGACAAAGACAAAATCTGTGACTCCAGACCTAGAAAGAAGTTTGCACTTTTTGAAACGTAATGGTGTGTGCAAAAAATAATCTGTCTCTACTGTTCTTGTGAGTTATAGGGGACTTTACAGGCATACCAAGACTTGTTTGGATGTGATACAACATGGCTACATTAATTAAGCACCTCAAAATCTGATATTCCTTTCCAGAAACACTGCGCTAAAAAAATCTGTTGTTCTTTGTGACTTAATGTTATTTTCATGCATGATCTATAAGTGCAGCATGCCTTCATGCAAATCGTTTCTGTGTGTATATTAGTTGTATAATAGAACACCTGGCCCTTGTACCTGTAAAGGTGTACTTCATCCCCTTCCCCAACAGAAGCCCCATTTACAAAAATAGTCACATATAATAAACAACATATGAATAAAAATAAGATGAATCCACCAACACAGATTTTGTAAAAATACGACGTATGTGGCAGTTGAAATGCAAACAGTGGATACAGTTACCGTATTGTTTTATGCTAAACACACAAATACTTGGTTTGCACCCCTTTAACTGGTCCCTACAGTCTGAGTAGCCATTTTTTCTCTCCTCTTCAGCAGTGTCAGCTGGTAGTGAGAACAGTAACCTCCTGTCAAGGTTGTTTTCCCATATCACAGTCACAGTCACTGTCTTTTAATAGGCACTGACCTTTAATGTACAGTATATTTGTAAAAATTGTCAGTTTGGCATAGACCTCCAGCAGGAGTCCTGTTGACACAAACACATGATTCTTACAGACTATGAACTGTTTTGCACATAGATGATTTTACTTGCTATTTGTTTTTATTTTTGAACATCTTTATCTTCCTTTTCATGCTTTTCTTTGACTGGCCTTGTTACACGATCATAAGAAGGTGGACAAACTGCTGTTGATGCGGTTATATCAGTTTTCTCTGTAAATGAGTTTTCATTTAACTTGTCAATAAGGATTTCATCTTTCATTCCCTGACCAGCCCCTCCTTCGGTTTTGTTTTTGTTATAGATAAAAGAAGCTTGTTTTACTGTTCGTTTTAAAAGGTGACGTCTATAAGCCCGTTGGATAATGACAGCAGATACTTCCTCCTGTTTTCGTTTTAATGTGGTTGTAATTGGTTCATAGGAAGCTTTTGAAGGATTGGATGCCATAAACCGATCTTCCATCTGTATTCGGAGGGCATCCATCTCCCCACTTTCCCCCAAAACACGCTTTGTGAAAGCAAACAAGATGTCAAGGCAGTGAATTCTGTCACCGCTTACCATGGGCAGATCCATTGCAATAAGCTGGACTTTGTTTGGCTTGGGTAGATGAAGAGGAGGATCAAGTGCTGCTGCAAAATCAGACAATTTCTCAAATTCCATGAATTGTGTTGCATCAGGATCAAACTTCTCCCAGACTTCATAGAACATCTCAAAGTCATCCTCACTCAAGGGTTCAGCACTTTCTTCAGTAGCAACACCAAAGTTCTCCAGAATCACAGCTATGTACATGTTCACCACTACCAGAAAGGATATGATAATGTAGCTGACAAAGAAGAAAATCCCAACAGAAGGGTTGCCCCAGTCGCCCTTCACAGAGCTCCCCGGGTGATCTTTATGGGGGTCACAGTCTGGCTCCCCACTGTTAAGAATCGGGGCTAGCAAACCATCCCAGCCAGCAGAGGTGGTAATTTGAAATAGGCAGATCATGCTGTTGCCAAACGTTTCAAAGTTGAACATGTCATCTATACCGGCTTCCCTCTTAACGTAGGCAAAGCTGGACATGCCAAATATTGCATAGATAAACATGACGAGGAACAGCAGCAGACCAATGTTGAACAAAGCAGGAAGAGACATCATCAAAGCAAAAAGCAGAGTGCGGATTCCCTTAGCGCCTTTAATGAGACGCAGGATTCGACCGATTCTGGCAAGTCGGATGACTCTGAATAGTGTGGGGGATACAAAATACTTTTCAATCATCTCGGCTAAAAACATACCTAAAACAGGAAAAAAAAATAAAAGCAAGGTACATTACCACTTGAATCTTTGTATCATAGTAGAAATATACAAAAGTTAGTGGTTCTATGTAGCAATCAAAGATACTCCAGATTCCACTTGCATAATTTCTGTTATACCACTTAATATTTGCAGGTGCAATATATGTTGAATTGTTATAACAGTTTTGATGGTTGAATTAGGTAGATTATGATATAAAATGAAAAGCTGCATGACTTAATTGTAAACCTTGCACTGGCAAAAGCCAACCATAGAGCTCTATTCAAGTAAAAGTTCACCTTATAATCATTTTACCTTCTTTTTAGTTTAATAAACAAGACTTACCTACTATTGAGAGAATGACAACTACAAAATCAAAAATGTTCCAGCCTATAGTGAAATAGTAATGGCGAAGTGAAATTAATTTCAGGACACATTCTCCAGTGAAAAGGACAATGAACACCAGGTTTATCCAGTATAAAATATTTTCCATTTCTTTACTCTGGTCATCAGTTTCTACCATCATGGTAACCATGTTAAGACAAATAAGAATCATGATGCTGATGTCAAATACTTGCTGTGTCACAAAATCAAAGACCATGCCTTGGAATTTGTTCTGAGGAGAAAAGAAAAAAAGAAACAGCCAATATAAACTGTAATTGTTTTTCTTTTCCTGTTAGAAGAAAGTCAAAAAATACATGCAGTAAGGCCTATGAGACTTTAACAGAAATGTAACTAGTGATCTCAAGCAGAGTAGTCAAATTAAAGTGGCTACAACAGCTGAGTTCAGCCTCCTTTGTTTGTATATTCATACATAAAATGGTTGCAAGGGAAAAATATTTTTTTTACTGTGTTTTCATTTTCCATTTTGTCTGACTGATACACTAGGTAATGATAATTTTCACATGGGCATATTTCTGCTCTCTCTATATCAATAAAAACTGAGCTGTTTGTAAATAGCTATTGGTCTGATGTATATAAATAATTTTACCCCTGGTCTTGGTATAGGTTTTTGTGGTTTTTTGGATCCCAGCTTTTTCATTGCATTGTAGTATTTCTTCTGCTCTTCTGTCATAAATATGTCTTGACCTCCAAAGTAAAAGCATGAAATCAAAACTGGTTATAATCACATTTATATACAGTGTTGAAATAAACTCTTAAAGAGAAATGTGATTTATTTATTTATGCCATGAAAATCAAGAAGACTGAATTTGGAAAAATCTCTTCGCTATCAAACGTAGCTGTCTGCAATCTTAGCATTTAGTCCAGAAGTTGTCTGGACATCCACAAAAAACCAGTAATGCAGCATTTTTCTATGGTTATTTTCCTTGAACTCCAAGAAATCCTTTTCAGTACCTCTTTCCTTTTATACAAAGACATACAATAAACAGCATCTGAGATAGGCTCAAATAGTCTGGGCTGCTCAGCACTGTCACTTTGGAACTGTGATTTTAGTGAAACAAAGGAAGCAGACAAAGTCAGGTTTTCAGTACATGAATGTGTTAGTGCTTTAGGTGTCACAACATTAGCATTGGGACTCAAAGTCTTCAAGGTTTTTGAGAAGATGGATTATCAGGCTTTCGAGAAACTGAGCTGAAGATTGAAGCACTCTTGATACTGTTAACAGTGAAATGCTCTCTTTTAAGTCTTTTATCTTGATTAGCTTCCATTTTCAATGAAGTTCTGATTAGCAAAAGCCAGAACTGGCCTTTGGAGTCTGACAGTGAAGGTACAGAGCGAATTATGGGTCTTCAATGGCAACTTAACCAAAATCCACTGCCTATAGTAACTTGTAGAGACAGCTTGAACGAAAACCCATCGGACTCCACATACTCTTTGAAGTAAATTTTTCCTGGATAAAAGATACTTGCAGATATCTAATTCCAAGAACATCTATAAACACATAGAACTGGATACAGCCCTTTTGTGGATGAGTATTTGGGAAGCTTGAAGACATGGGAATGCATGCACCACACACTGGACAGGCTCCCTAACCATATACCTCTGGGCCTCTAGCATGTACAGCTTCCAAAAATCTTACTCAGCACCTCTCATTAGTAACATAAACCCAAAGAAAGTTTTGAAGTCCAGTAAGGTAAAATTAAACTAGTAAATCATAGCTGCTTTTGTCCTTTAGCTTTCATTACCTAATCTATTAATAGAAAATAATTTTAAAGATGAGCATCTGATATTCAGACCGTCTATACCAGATTATCTATGTCTGCACTATGAAACAATAACAAAAGGCCCTGAGATAGTTCCAAACCACTCCTGTTCTATATAGTTTCAGGTCATTCAGTACCACAAACTAGAACTTGAATGCTTGGGATCATTAAAGCAGCATCTGTAGTAGTGTGATGAAATAATGCTTTGCTTTTCATAACCAGGTAACTATTTTTTTGTGTGCTGATAGAATCACTACAATCAAGAAGAAAAAAATTGAAATTATGAGTGCTTTAATGTAGAGGCATAATTCAGGGGTTTGAGCAGGTAAGGAGATTTCATGAAGTTTAGGCACGGAAAATCAAATTACTTGAGGAAGACTAAATTGGACATTGAATGAAAACAGAAGGGTCCAGGCCATTCAGTACAATGTAAAATCTTATGATGTTAATGCATACTGTGTCTTGGTAAGATTTTATATCCTAATATAATTCAGTTTTTTCAATTTTGAACAGACCTTGAGTGTACATTGCATATGTCATGCACCTGCAAAAATGGAGTATTTTAGAATATATTTAGAAGAGAAATGAAACAATACTTATCTTCTTTTTTTGCTGATTGAAGTTATCAATAATGACACCAATGAACAGGTTCAGGGTAAAAAAAGACCCAAAAATTATAAAGATGACAAAATACAAATACATGTACAGGTTGTCTTCATACTTGGGTTGCTGTAATACCTAAGAAAAAAATGTGAAATATCATTCCTAAGATTTCATGTGAAATTTTCAGCTGAACAAGCAGCAACCTTGGGCAAAATGTCCTTAATATTTTGTGTTTGGACAATACTCCTGTCACTTATATCAATGTATTTTTTCTGTTCCTTCTATTACTGACAGCATCTGGCAGTTTGCATTCAGTTTTCCACAATCTGTTACAGCAGAATCCTATATTAGTTAATTTAGTTTTGTTCTATTGTATGGATATTAATTGCTTTTGCAAGATCTATAAATATACACCTGTTGATAGGCAGACCTCAAGAAAAAAAGAGAATTTAAAATATTTGCAGTACTTACATCTCTTGAGTCAATAGCTGCGTACATAATATCCATCCAGCCTTTAAATGTAGCCTGTAAACAGTACACACCTGTTTAAGCATAGAGCTTGAAGGCAATTCATATAATTATTTCCAGCAACTGAATACAGCACCAGGAATAATTAGCGTAACACGAGATTTCTAGATAATTTTGTCTCTTGGCTCTCTTCACAGCTGCTCATCAGACACACTGTGGTGTATCCCCCTATCTTGTTTCTATATGAACATTTGAAGCAGTAGGCATAATTAACTTATTTCTAATTAATTATCACAAGTGATAGAATGCAGTATCATTTTAGTGTACTAAATGCTCATCAAATCATGTCAACTGCAAAGGCTATGTATAGCTGAGAAGTAGCCTTTATGTGACTGAGTTGCCACCAATGAAGACTGATGCGTGTCCCTCCCTCTCTAATCAGTCAGAAAGGTGGCAAACAAAGGGAACCAAAAATGTGATCAGCTCAGAAAAGGTATTTTCCTATCAATCAGAATTTTTATTTTTCTCTACTTTGAAAGACTTTACCTGATTTGGTAATTTTATTTTCATTTTAAAGATACTGTATTGTGTTTTACAGAGGCTAGATCCCTCAGATATGTTCTGAGATAAACTGGTAAGAAGAGGATGTGTTTTATGTGCCTCGAAGATTTAATATGCCTCATAGATGACAACATTTAGTGAACTTTTGTAGATATTTCCTCTGCCCAAAATCTGTACATTTTTATATTTGACGATGAGGTGTAGATTGCTTAATGTGAGTGCTCAAAACAGAAAGTAATTTCCTCTGTTGTAGCAATTAGTTCTCTTTTGACTAGACAACATCTCCAAGTAGAAATCACTCAGGTTTTAATCCAGTTGTGCCCAGAATAAAAGAAAGTGAGATAGTTCTCTGTCATTTAATCCCTATTATAATTTTGCTAAACAAGGCTGCAGATCACTGGTTCCTTCACATTCCTTGGCACAGAAACCAGTCACAGAAACAAGTCGTGAATGGAACACCCTTCATCCATGGTTATTGCTGTATCTCCATCATCCTGAGGCTTCATTTCTAGTGGAGGTTTCAAAAAGGCTTTGCTTATGCAGCATATAAAGCAGCTGGCATCATCCTGAAGTGAACTTAAAATGAGAAGGAATTATTTACTTCAAGGAAAAGAGGTCCATTACGTTTTTGAAACGGTGGGATACTAAAAAAAAAAGCCATGATTATCCTGAGATGCAAATCCAGTATGCAACAACTTTCACATCTTGGGGCCAACACAGAAAATATGAAGTTCAGGTAATTTACAGTACGATGGTGAAATCAAAGTGTAGTACCAGAGGACTGATAAATCAACAATAGATCTGGAACAAGTAGAAGTCTCAGCTGTAGAATTTAAAATCCTTGTGGATTATTTGGACTGACAGGGATTAGGACAGGTAAAATCAGCTTTATTTATGTAATTCCTAGTATATGTTTAATTTGTTCTCAAATACTTTTACTGATGGACACTCCACAACCTCATAACAAATATTTATTCTAGCACTTGTCTTTATTGCTTCCTAATACCTATATCCTTCTGTTGCCATTTAAGACTGTCACTTGTCATAACTATTACATATCTGGAGAACAGAGTACTAATTATCCTTTGTGCAGCTGATTTACAAGCTGATTGTTGCTGCCTTTCTTCTTTAGGCTGTGATCACTGTTCCTTCAGGCTTTCCATGTAGATCTTGTTTTCCAAAACTCTGATCATTCTCATTATTTTCCTCTGAGCAATCTTCCACTTGTTCATCTCTTGAAGTGGTAACCAAAACTGGACTCGGCATTTCAGCTGAGGTCTTACAAGGTCTAAATAGGGCAGGATGATTACTTCATGTCTTACAGGAGCTCCTTTTGTTTCTACGGTGGTATATCATTTGCATTTTTTGGAATGCCATAACTTAGGTTGAAATCAGCATTTCAATCTGAAACTCTAAATGCAAATAATGGGCATACTTTTACATCAGAAAGGTGATGCAAATTATGGAGTGGCTCTTCTGCAAAGTGTGTGCTGTTGCCTCAGATTCAGACACATGATGATCCTTGCATATCATCCTCCAGGCAAAGTGGAATGATTGTTTTATGTAGATTTACTGGTGTAGCCTAGGCTAACTACAGTGAATGGGAAAAAATAGACTAATTTTAAAATATTAAGCTCCACTATCACCAGCAAAGTACTCCATTATAAACAGACAGTACCTACAGCTAGCACAAGCAAACAGATCTGAAGAACATAGTTGTTGTACGCTTATTATTATTAAAAAGGCAACTTGAAAAGAGTGTGAGGGTGGAAAAATAGAAATACAAGATACTACTATCTTGCAGTTCAAAATATCTAAAGTAAAATGCGTATTTTCCGCAATGAGTTTCATAAAACCATAAGTTATTACCATTATTGAAGAAATTAAGAAAAATTCAATCCCAAACCCTAAATAAAATTAAGTCATTTTAACAATAAAATATGCTCCCTCACCATATTGTTTGTTTTATTCTAAATCCCTTCTGAAAATCAGTAGGAATCAGCGAATACAACCATTTCTGTGAGAAAAGAGATTCTTAATTCCCAAAGCAGAAGCATCTTTTCAGTAGGAGAACTTGTAATTTTTAAATATGTTGCCTGAAAATAGCAAATAATGGACCTGGAAGTTCAGTTCAAGAGATCACATTTAGTGAAACAATGTGCTTTCTATTGCATTTAGTAGAAGTTTTGGCCTGCTTATGTTAGGCTTAAATGTATCTGCAACACATTTTCTTTAACAGAAATAAGGTATTATTTGGGCATTTGTGCATACTGAGTAGAAAATAACACAGAAATATGACTAAGACATCAAATTCTTAGTTTCCTTTTTGTATATTCAAATATAAAAATATGTTGTATATTCTCAGTGAGGCTAAATCAGGAGTAATTCATTGATTTTAAAGATTACAGCAGTGTAGCTGAAATCAGCACCTTTTCCAAATGTTTTTTCCCCAAGGAAGTTTGAGAGACATATATTCAAATGCAGATTCAAATGTACTTAGAAAAACCAACAAAACAAAAATCCCCCAATCTACTTTACTATTGTTAAAAGTACGTAGATTTTTTCTAATAAAGTTATAAGTAATGCTGGAGTTTCACTGCTCCAGTTCTTTACCAGAAATAACAACCAGGAAGATTCACATTCCCTTTTGGAGATGCAAGAGCATGTTGCTTTTAAAATACTAATCTGCTGGAACTTGGAAGCCATCCTAATCTCATAGCCCTAGAATTCAGCTTCTGAATTTTTTTACCCTACATGGAACAAGATGTGTTCTCTTATTTATATTAGTAGCAGCAGAATAATATAACATTGTGCTTTGAGACCCATTGGTTTGCCACATTTTATTCTGGTAAGCAGGCTATATGCTTCCCAGCAGGATAAAAGCAGGCCTCTGGGAGATTTACTTACCAAAGAATCCAAACCCTAGGTGCAAGTTAAAAAGGCATAAGGCCATAAAATTATCAGGGCAGATGCCACATCTCTTTGTGTACACCAATCTCTTCCTCTTCACTCACTGAGGCATGAAAATTGTGAAAGGAATTTCTCCAGCAGATCTGTCTCTGCTTTGATGCTTTTCTTTAGGGACAGAGAAATACTCAAACAAGTTCAGACCAAGAAATGAAAAAAGGAAGTTTGCAGATCCACATAGACGAACAAAAGCTACGCTGAATCACAGAAGAAAAAACTTATAGAGAGAATGTGTACTTATATGACTGATGGCATGAATATTTACACTCCAAATTACGTAAGAATTTTGGAAAATACTCTCTGATCAATAAAGTGTATAAAACTTGGTTGTATCAATGGCACATACTGTTAGCCTGTATTTTTGGGCAGAAATAATTATAACATTGCTATCAACACTGAAGGTTTTCCACACACACCCCTCTCCTGAAAGAAAAAAAATACAATATACAAATGAAAAATTTAGTTCATGTTCTTTTCTTAGGTCCCTCATTCCAGAAATTCATTCCCCATCACTGCCAAGGAAACTCAAGAAAGAGCTTCTCAGAGAGTTCTTTTTTTGCTTAAAAAGCCATTGCCACACATTTCCAATCTACTTTTTGAGCCTAGAATGTTTCTTTCTGAAATTATCCAACTATTTCTGAGTATTTCTGTGTGAAATACCTATATTACTTTTCTATATTACTCTTAAGAAAAAGGGTATTTTTCTGCAGTGAACAGACCCATACACTATCAGAAAAAGCTTTTGATTATTCAAACCAAAAATTGTTCATGGGACTCATTTATGTCTTTCCCAGAATAAGGTCCTCAGTGTCAGGGTCTGGAGTTCTTTTGGCTTGTTTTCATTTGCATCTTTTGGCATGAAAATGGTACTACTTCCAGTAGTATTCACTCCAGATGGAAAACCTCAGTGATGCAGAAAATAAAGATTTATGTTGTATTACCTGTGACTCAGAAAACTGAAGGGATTTGCGATATTCTTCTTCGACTGGCTCAATGGGAACGAGTCAGAAAGTAAAACGGAGAATGGAAATAATACTGTGTTTTAAGAGGCAGCTTTCTGTAGTTACTTTCTAGCCTCCTGAAAAGGGGACCTCATATCTGTAATTCATGCATTAATAATTATCACTGACTTTGCTATTAGAAAAATTACCTTGACCTCTATGGGGTTATTTTCTCAGATCCATCACAACCTAAACAAAAGTGTGTGCCTGAGATTGTTAAGGTGGAGAACCAAATGACTTCAGTAGGCTTTTCAACTAATGATTAAGATGTTAAAAAAGGCCATTGGTGTTCACGCTGGGTTCACAGAAAGCATATCCACTTGCAACCATGATTTTGGATTTTGATTTTTCAGGCTTAATACTTTATTTGGGGCCAAATACTCGAGTTACAATATCTTTATCTTTGTTTCTAACATACTAATGGATACCTCTAACTAATTCTTAGTATTTACTTATCTTTACTATTACTACAAACTGATTAGAAACAGTAGAGAAAGGTAGGGTTCTGACATACCTATTCACTTCTCATGTTTTGAACATGATGGCTTTAGAATCCTGTTCCAGATTCTCATCAAAAATACTTTGTATATCAAATAGAAAATAATCTTATAAATATCTTCTTTGATTGAGAAAGTGATGTGAGAATCTCAAACATTTATGAATTGTGGCCTTGTGTTCTTGAAGGTGAAAAAGCATAGATTCTGCATATTTTAAAGCATTAGCTGAAAATCAAGCTGATTTTTTTCTTTCTCTGCCCCAGGGCTTTATCATTCCGTCACTGCAAAGTCACTACTAGCAGCTTACTTACCAAACCCTAAAAGATGCAGGGCCAAGTGTCTGTTTTGTGGAATGACAGAAGTGCCTCATTTTTTTCTGGTATGCCAAACAAAAAAATCTCTTCATGCTTCTACAAGCATTTTAGTAATACAGAAAAAAATGAGTGATGTTGCCACTGACATTCTACTCACACAATGGGAACAATTGGCAAACTTCTCCCAATTGGCCTCCCAGAACAATCCTATAATTTAAGAATCTAAGCCTTCATGTAAGAAATATTTGTTGCTTTTCAATGAAGAGAAGATGGAATAAGCTATGCATAGCTGGGACACTTAAATATGTATGACTGCAAGTAGCTGAAGGTGGTGATTGTGGCCACAAAGCAAGAAAAAAATGTACCTGGTGTTATCTCTGTCCCAGAATAGACTAGGTTACTACTGGAAGAAGAGTTCAAACCATGCAAAAAGAGTTTTGTTGGTGTCTTGTTCTCCTGAACACGTGTAATAAACCATTCTGCCCCTCTGACCCTAAGGGGTATTCTAGGGCAGTGGATTTCAAAAATAAGACAGAGAAAAGAAATATGTGAAGTCTTTCTATTACAATCCAGTTTTGTTATCAAAATCAAATTGTATTCAGTAGTTTATTTCTTTAATACTGCTGGTCCCTCTCTGCTCTTTCCTGATATGACAGTAAAGTAAATAATTAATCATAGTGAAATTTAAATTGTCAGAATTATCAGTCACACAGATGAGAAGCTATATTAGCTGGGAGAGGCAGTTCACAAGGCTCAGAACTATTGTTTTAGACCCTGTGCAGGACCATGTCAATACCACTGCATGATGCTAATGATTTGTATTACTGAGATTTCCTCTGCCAACTCAAAGCTAGAAACTTAATTAAAAACTATCAACATGAAAACTAAGATTCTGCAGAATTAGACGGTAATGTCAAAAAAACATAGAGATTGCTGAATGCACACAACATGGGTTAGCATTCAGCATTAGCATGATTAAAGCTGGGTCAGATTGTTAGCTACTCCAAAATACAAAGATAGTGTTGTGAGGACACAATTTTTAACAGTGAAGGCAGAACCTTATAGTATCTTTATGCATATATTTTCTTCCTTCTTTTTTTCCCTCAGTTTTTGCTAAATAAACTCCACCAGGCGCTTATGCATAGAAATAGCAGGGAAATATTTCATGGTTTATAGTACCTAATGATACTTTTCCTATTTCTCTTCTGAATGAGAAATTGCTTCTTAGATCACATAAGTCTGCACTGGTGGCAGCCACATCACTGAGATGGGATTTCCTACCTGGAATTCTTCTCTGTGACTTAATCACACCAATGCAGATATTTGGGTTTCAGCCACAATAAAACTTCAAGTATTCAGATAGGTGAATACCATTCCTAGGTGCTTCTAGAAACTTCTAGAAACTAGAAACTTCTAGAAAACGGCTGGAGGACTAGGGGAGCTATAAATAGGAAGAATAGCACTTGTTCTGTCAGATATCCTAAAAATTCTTCATTCATCTTAGTAGGCTCTACTTGCTACTTGCTATGAAAAGAGTAATCAATCATCAGTGCAGCGGTATTACTAAGTCACAGATAAAAATCATCAGGTAAATATGTTTTCTGTCTTTGTTGCTAGAATGGCTTTTACTATTACATATAAACAGTAAGAGGTATATAAAGAGTGATCACTTACTACTTGAAGTAAAGAAAGATACCCAAATCCTACATTATCAAAGTTTACTTTCACGTTTTTCCATCGGGCACTTTGATTGTTTTTTATGAGTTCCTCGCACTGACTAAAATTGTTGATTTGGTCGACTTCAAACCTTTCATCAGTTGTGGTGTTAACACAGTAGTAGAACTTCCCAGCAAACAGATTTACTCCCATGATGCTGAAAATTAGCCAGAATATAAGACAAACGAGAAGCACGTTCATGATGGATGGAATTGCTCCTAAAAGGGCATTCACAACCACCTAGTACACAAATACAGGGGAAAAAAGAAAAGAGTGTAAGAATATTTACAGGGATAAAGATTTGTATACTGTTTTATCAATGCTTAGTAAATGCTTGTTCAGAAACTAATACTATAAATATTAAAGCAATACATTAATAACTGTAGCATTGCACTGTTCTTTTAAATATTTAACATTAGAATATGTAATGAAAGGAAAATAAGTAAGAAAATTAAAATAATTAAAAGAATAAAAAAAGAGTAGTGGTGGTGGTAGAAAGATGAAGCCTGACACTGATGTGTTCTGTATAGAAAAGACAAATGTGTTAAATATAAATACGGACATAATAAAATTCTAAAAATGCATCAAATTATAGCTTAAAAATGTTCAAAGGAAAATGGCAACCTGTAGATTTGATCAACGTAGCTTTGAAATTTAAGCTGAAAACAAAAATGCCATGAATCTAGAAACTAAGCTCTACATTGAAAGGATTATGCAGGAATTAAATACATATCTCTATTGCCTTATTGTTCCATGCAAGATTATAACAAAGATTAATTTCTTTGTATAGAAAAGCAAGACAGTTTTGCAATATGTGTCTACTTGAATCAACAAAATTTATTTCAAGCTCCAGTCTTATTGTTTCATGTATTGAGTTTAAGTCAGTAATACCCTTCATTTATCTAAAGAAGGACATATATCAAGGACATATTTAAGGGTTTTGATTTTGCATTTTAAATTACCTTTGGCCAGTTGACTTCCCAGCCCCTTGCAGGCAAGATGTCAATAATTACTTATGTAATAAGGTAAAAAGTATATTTTTCTGATATATATAGTAATTAATCACATGTGTCTGTCAGAGCTAACGAAACTTTTGTGATATTTGTTTGGCCAATAGATGAGCAATCATTTCTCATTAAGTATCCAATACTGGATCTCATTTACAATTTATATTTTATTTTAAATATTCCCTTTTTTCTCTGTAAGATTTTTATGACCTTGTAGGAAGGTAAAATAAAATATATAGTAGGGCTCTGATTCTTAGTAATCTATTTTCTGCAGTAAGACAGGAAAGGATTGGCATGGATACTTGGGGTGTATTAAGGTGTCTTAGTCCATCTTTTTTCCCTGCTTTCTGCAACATAGAGGGATCTTCCCCACCACCAATATAATTCTAAGCAAGCTCAGAGCTGCTCAATCTTACTACCTGTATTTCACAGCCTCTTGAAGGCCTTTGGCAGCAGAGTATTGTGGTTGTGTTACTCGTCACTCAGCACCCTCCTCCTCCCAAATGTTATGGCCAGGAATTAGGACCTGTTTAGAGATCTTAGGTAGAAATGTTATTTTCAGGGCATATTTTCTTCTCATTTTAAGGGCCTCCTCCATTGCCAGACAGTAGAAATGGGACCTTTCTGTAACTGAGAATTATACCTATCTTTCATAAAACCATGATTTTTTTCAAATTTAGCCTTTCTTGGCAGCTTCTATTTTTGGTGATAACTTTAAAGGAAGATGCTTTCTTCTTGAGATTTCTATTATAGAAAATGTGAAGTATCTAGGTGTTGTATGCATAAGCTAAGCATTTTTAAAAAAATGTTTAAAAAGGCTAACAAGGTCCCAGTAATATTCTGAACATAAGAAACCATTTTCAAAGGAGTGAGAGAAATGGGGTTTTTTTACTATCCTATGGTGAGAAGAAATCTGTTGCTACTTAGCTTGATGGAACTGAGAACAACACACAAATTAGGGATGCAATGATTCTGGAATTTATTCCAAGTCTGACCTGATCTATGACAATGTATTATGCTATTGTTGCTTTGAAATTCTAGGCCAGCTAGTGCTTGTCTTATATTTTTCTTTTTTTTTTTTTTTTTTCCCTTCACCCATAAAAATGTTCTGGATGTGTTATACTGATTGAATTCCTCTGTTTAATCTTGGTGAAAAACCTGAAAATAAAGATGTCGAGAAAGAAAGATGGGGATTTAGTCCTGCAACTTAAATAAATTAAGGTTACCTGTGCTCACACGAAGAATGGTTTTATATGAATTGAGTGCCCGAAGCAGTTACCTTTTTAACAACCCTGAGATCCATTGGACCACAGCACAGATCCAGAACAGGCAGCAGAATAGTAACAGCTACAGTAATTGTTACAACAATTATGAGTTGATAATAGTTGTAGAAAGAAAGATTTCTACAAAATGTCATCAGTGTGTCTCGCATCGTTAGACGAACAGGTAATGCAGTCTCACTACTGAGACTGCCAAAAGATCAGCCACATCTTCTTGAATAAGAAGTGAACAGCTTCCAGCAACTGTTCCAACAACAGCTCCAACAACTTATTTCATATAGGTCACTGAAAACCCATCAAATGGTAACAATTTTTGGTCACTACTGACCTGGCCTGGATGCGAACTGGTGACCTAGAGATGAAAGGCTCTGTATCCTATTACCAACCCCTTGAGCTATCCAGTCCCCCTGGAAGGTTTTTTAAGAAAAGAAGAAAAGAAAATTAAAACTTTCAGAAGTTGTTTTCTGTTTGCGTTTTGGTTTTGTTTGATTTTTGATTTTTTTTCCCCCCACCAGTGTTGAGCCTTTGCCCTGTCATATTTATAATGTAAAACTGCATTTTTACATGCTGGTTAGATCCTTGGCTGACTGTAAAGTCCACCTTAGGAGGAAGTCTTTAATTTCTTCAACACGTACAGTCAGAGGCAATTGCTTTATCAGTGTATTTTCCATTTACTTTTTTAGTATTTGCTTTGGGAATAGCTGAGGTATATCAGGATAACCAGAGTTTACATACTATATAGCCAAGATAGCACCCGTACATACACACACGACACCTCGTCACATAAGTTACAGAAAATGGACAGAAAGAAGAGAACCAATTGAAAAGTGAAGTGGATGCAGAAAAGAGATCAATTAGTCAAAAATTTAGCAAATAAAAATTGTGAATCTTGTCTTGTTGAAAAGAGTCTGTAGTGGGTTAAAAGAATGTTGGCAACTACAGCTCTTATTTTTGCTTGTTCTTCAAATCTAGATCAGATATATGTGATTCTAAATCTATTTTTTATTTTTAAAAGGCTGTTCTTTTGGGCCTATATTCTGTTATTCCTTGATACAGAATATAATGCCAATACATTGGAAAAAGATGTTTGCAGAGTTTTTTGGTTTTTTAAATTACCTCTGCATTTCCTCAAGGCTGGGATGTTGGTGGTCAGGCTGAGTCCAGTGAGCAAGCTGCAAAAGCCCAAGCTGATTCTGCTTGTTCACTTTCCTATAACTTCAGGTAGGTGGAATAGCAATAAGTGCAAGTGAGAAGCAATACCTGACACCTACAGACAAATGGGGTCTAGACTATTTTACATCTCAGTTGATATTAATCCAGGAAAAAAAAAACCAAAAACCAACATTCTGTGAAAAAATGTGTCCTCTAGAAGAAAGCAGTATTTCATATACATACACACTTTTTTCATGTTTACATTTTCATAGCATTTATCTTCCAACATCAGATATATATGTAAAATAAAAGAATTACTGCAATGCTAATTGTCTGTCTTATCTTCTGGCTGATACGACGTTATGTCAATACAAATTAGTAACCCAGCTTTTTTTTGGTGTTGCTGTTTGTATCAGTTTTGGACAACTGTCCAAAGAAGACAGCAAAATGGAAATGGAAAAAAAAAAATCACTTTTGCTACCAGAGCTGTGTATATGTATAAAATGAGGACTATGCAAAATACCAGCTTATCCCTGCTGTATGAGTAGAATATAAGGAACCGTTACTAAATTCAGCCTTGCTGTAGGACACATCTGAAACACATAGTGAGATATAAATGCATTGTATTTCCCACAGCAAAATAGATTTAATAGGTCCTCGCACCTCAGCAGCCACAGGTTTTCCAGGAATTCCTACATTGGACCTGACTAATGTATATATCAGGGTCTCCTGAAATCTGTAAACAAATGAGGAACAATCTTCAGTAGTATGTATCCATTTTTTCTGTAACTTGCAACTTCTGTGAAGTTCCAAACTCTGTCCGTGGAGCAAATGAGAAGGAAGTTCCCATCTTTGGGATGAAAAGGAAGATGATAAGATTATGTCTGGAACACTCTTCCTACTTTAAATGACAAAGTACTTCATTTGCCTCCACTTTGGAAATTGTCAACTTCATAATTTTAGGCTTAAATGGGAAAAGCTTCCCAAAGATTTGATGTGCCAGATCTCATACCAGAGTCCTTTGAAGGAGTCCATCAAAGGCTATAGAGAATATTTAACTGTTACCTCATATTTTTTTCTGCATGTATATTCTCACGTGAGATTCACATACACAAGCACAGAAAACCAAATAATTTTTACTTCACCAGGAACTTTACGGATTAAATCAAACATTAGCTTCTATGCATGCTATATGGCCCTAACAAGCATAAGACATGTTCCTCCTGTGCTCAATTCCTCAATAGCTGGAAAAGCCTGAGAAAGCCTTCAGGAACTCCTTGGAAGAAGAACAAATTGTGGACTTGAACACGTATGTCCAAAAAAACCTAATAGTTTATTTCTCTTTATGTGACTATCTGTATAGTCACACAGTCGTAGACTTCAGACAGTGCTTGTTACAAAAAGCCATTCATCCCTCTCTTAGCAGTACCAAGATTGAAGACCCAGCTGTTCAAAGACATCAGCATGCAGAGGGAGTTTGACAATAGCATACGTAGCATAAGCCACATTAGAGCCAAGTAGGGAAATTCATTCCCAACTCAAATGAAACGCTTACACTGCCTTGGACAGGATTTGAGAGCAAGCTGTAAGTATTGCCATATCTTTAACAAGTATGAGGTAAGAACTTCTGCCATAAGATCATGAATCTCCCCTGCTCAACTGGCCAGATGTACACAAAGCTGACAGAGAGAACATTTGCACTGAAAGATGAAGAAGTGAGCAAGTAGCCATTGGTTTAGATTCTTGGACCACCACAGAGGTAGGATTGCTGGCATGAGCAGATAGGTATGCCATGAGTGGA